TGGGTTCTTTAGGTTCTAGTAGAGGAACAGTTGTGGGTTCTTTAGGGTCTGGTAGAGGAACAGTTGTGGGTTCTTTAGGTTCCAGTAGAGGAACAGTTGTGGCAGAAATCAGATGAAACGTTTGTTTGTCTGCTGTCAGCATCAGTTCCAGGCTGTTATCACCAGACCGGTTCAGAGGCTGACATCACAGGTTTGAAACCCTGTTTGTGAACCTCACTGTGTTCTGCTGACAGAGCAGGTAGAACCAGAGGCTCCTGTTCTCCTCTCTGGGCCTCCAGAGGTCGGTTCTCCTGAACGTGCTCCAGATGGACACCACCAACAAACGAGGTCCAGACGCCGACAGAACCAAGCAGCTTAATGAAGAACAGCTGCAGTCTGAGGTTCTACTGAGACCCGGCTGAGGTCCAGTTCACTGTGTGTGTGTGTGTGCGTGTGTGTGTGTGTGTGTGTGTGTGTGTGCTATCTTCTGGAGACCATCTGAAACACCAGGATCTTCATGTGTAACAGAACATTTTCAAGAAGTTTTAAAATTGCTGGAACCTCAACAATTACTGAAAATCACCTCATTAAATCTTCTGAAACCTCTCCAATGTCCCTGAGAACTTCTATTAGAACCTCTATTAGAACTTCTATTAGAACTTCTATTAGAACCTGCAGAACTTTTAAACGTCACCAGTGAACCACAGGAACATCGTGAGCAACTCTTAGAACCCTTATATGCACCAACAACTCTCAAAGGTCCTAGAAGCACACCAGGTACTTCTAGAACCTCCTGAAGACCTTCATGTGCAGCCCGTAGAACCTTCCCAAGAACTTTAAAACTCCTGGAACAAAACCAACAACTCTTATAAACATGGAACCTCAAGGATGAGTCAAACAACGTTCAGATCTCCTGAAACATTACTGACATATTTGGAACATCACCCAGTGACCATTAGAACCTCCGTAAGAACCTTCCAAACTCTTGAAACCAGACCAGTGATCTTTAGAACCTCTGTAAGGATCTCCTCAACCCTCGGACCCTCACCAGTCACCCTGATAAACTACAGGACAACTCTCAAAACTTGGAACCCCACCAGAGAACCACAAGAACCTTATGCTGATAGAACTCATAGAACCTCCCCAAGAAGTTTTAACCCTCCTGGAACCTCACCAACAACCCTAGAAACCCAGAGCCTCACCAATTACTCCTCAAGAACGTCCAGATCTTCTAGAACCTCACATCAACTACAAACTCTCTAAAAGACTCCGAGAACCTCCTGCAGGGATCAAGAACCTGTTTTATGTTCTGCTGCAGCTCACCAGAGACCCGAGCTGAGCAGGTGTGAGTGGTTCCTTCAGGATTATCGGATCTCTCTGATTTCAGATCTGTGACTTGTTTGCTCCCCGGCGGCCATCTTGGGTCTCTGCTGTGTCCCAGTTTCACTCATGAAGGGTTTTCTGTGAGAAGAAC